GTACGTGGTCAATGGGGGGGGGAGGGAGGGGGGATATTACAAGTTTGGTTTTGTCAACTGAGATGACCTCAGATGATAATGTAGATAGGCCACCGTAAGGAGTTTATTGAGCTGACTTTTCGAGCATTGGCTCTTCGTCAAAGCGAAGGGCTAGAAACGTCAGCTTTATAAATTCTTGCGTGTGTTGTTAGATACTTCAGTGTAATTACCATTTCACTCCGTTGTAAAAGAGAATTATTTTTAACAATCACTCAACGCAAGTTCACAGTTTTCCAAAACTAACGGTGATGCCTAGTTTTGAAAAGGCCCAAAAAGCTCTAAGGATATGTTGTTGATCTTTGAGGTTCCGTAAAATTTAACATTTTCTGTTGATTTTGCCTTTTTACCTTAGGGGAGTGGAAGAATGGACACAAACACGGCAAAGGTGCCGAACATACTCCTGAGGGAGTATACGAAGGCGAATGGAAAGATAATATGGTAACTTGATGTTGACAAATTTGAGTCATTTCGGTGAACAGTTTGAACCCTTGAGCAACAAGCAACTGTTTGACAGGGTAGCTCTGAAAAGAACTACTTTTTTGACAGCCTTGGCGAATGTCATCACATTAAAGGGAGGGGTTGTTTGTCAGTTGAGTGTGATAAGTTTCAAAACTGCCTGTCACTAATACCGATAGCAGTCCTTTTGATTTATAGCGGAGCTCGCAGAGCGTAGCCCCATAATTATACTAAATGGTAGTAGTAACCCATCAAGCCGAAAAAAATTGGACTTATGACCGTACGGGCGTCTGTACAAGGTGCTACTTTTAACATGCGTGGTCAACTGTACCGCGGGCACGCCAACGCCACGGCTTTGTCCAGTAGTCCAGTGGTCAGTGCACTGGGCTCCGAGTTGGACGACACGGGTTCCAGTCCTGGCCGGGGCAAGGCGTTGTGCCCTTGAGACGTGCGGGAAAAACAAAATGCGAGCTCCGCTTTTAGGCTTATTTTCAGTACTTTTGCTAACGAACCGACTTTCACGTATTGCTGTTTTATTCATCAGATCAATGGTGTTTTTCGTACAAGAATTTTTAATTGTCTTTTTTTTTCAGCGCCATGGCCAAGGGCGGGAAATATCGGTTTGTGAAACGGAATTTGAAGGAAAATGGAAGGAAAATAGAAAACATGGAACAGGCACTAAAAAACTGAAAAATGGGCGAGTGGAAGGGCAGGTGAGCATTGTCAATTGAAATGAACTTACTGTTTGCTTACCTTATATTTTACATTTTGCGTAATGCGGTCTTCTCACTCTTCTCGGCCATGCTTGTCAGTAAGTGACCGTCTGGTCAAATCGTGTGTCAAGAAACTCTCTCCAGCGCTTCTGCAGTTCAAATTCCTTAAGCTACTATTATTCCATAAACTACCCGGGTCGACCACTTTCGTGGCCGGCAGAAATTTTTGTGTCAAGTTTCTGATAAGAAACAGCTTGTGCAGAATCCTTCCGTTACTCCACACTAAGATAATTTAAAAGGAAAAAATCGATATAGGATATGCTATACCGTATATAGTAAGTTTTTTTGTTTTATTCGTCTCCTAAGCGACCACTCTCTTTAAGCGACCACCTTTTCCTGTGCCAAGGTCAGGCGCGTGAGAGGAAATTATTTTGAACTATAGGTACTCCTTTCACTTGGTATGGATGAAAGAAGTTGAGAGTACTCCATATTTGTGTGTTTCTAGGTCTGGGAAGAGGGCAAACATGTGGATATATCGAGTATTGACGTGATAGAACTGCCCCTCATCCAGAGGAGATGATAATAATTTATGTTACCATCCCGAAATTTGAAACTACAATTCCAAGGATTAAGAGTTTTCTAGCGAAGAGATCAAAGGAATAATGAGATTTTTCCTTTACCCCTGCTTGACCAGGTGTAGATGTTGCTCTCCCCTGCCCCGTTCGATAAAAGACCTACTTCAGTTTAGCAAGGTATTTTTTTAGGGAGGGGGGGGGGGTTTCCTATACTGCTTATCTACCAACGTTTGTTGAACCTCTTTTTTTCGCTTACTACAATGTATGAGGTAGTACTAGGAGTGATAGGACAATAAGCTGCAGAAATTTTAGTTTTTTTTAAATGTCTTATTTTTATTAATTCAACTTATATTTAAGGATAGATCGTCACATAAGACTTAGGAATAATACTGTTTTGTACAAAACGGTAACTTTTACTTGCTGTTAGTATTTGCTACTTGCTACAGTATTTAAAGGAAAATGAAAGTTTTTTCGTATGCAATTTGGGATAGAATAGCTATCAACAGATTTAAAAGATTGAGTGTAGAAGAAAGTATTGAGTTAAACTAAGGTTAACATTTTGAGATGTTCGTCAGAAAGAAATAAGTTAAAAATTGGAGATTAGTCAAATACATTGATGGAAATAACGATAATGATGATAAAAAGCCGGGTTTTTTTTTTCTGTAGTAGTGAGGGAAGGGGGTTTTTTCCATTGAAAGGAAACACATTTTTATTAAGTTCCGCATTTTTTATTTGAAACTTTTCCCTTAAACTATGGATAAAAATGGTTATTATTAGACAGTGAAGCGCGAACAACTTGAATTAAGCACTTTCATCTAATTTTTTAAACCAGGAACCATGTAATGTGTGTTTGACGTTATTTTTAAGTGAAACCTTACATGAAGCAGCACTCTATTGCACTCTCACCCTAAGTAGTTGTGTCTTTGTAAACCGATGACATATTTTCTCTATTTTTTGATTTGTGTTATAGATGCTTTGATTATCTAAGAAATCCAAATATTTTTATTATAGCAGGCATTAGAAGTTCTTAACTTTCAAGGTTTTCGAATCAATACAAACGTAGGCTCACAGAGTAAAGAGCTATGTATAATTTAACTGATCTTGGTCTGGAACACCTATCAAAAAAGCTTAGTACGGGTTATTGTAGTTTTTGTTGCGCAAAAAAACCTTAACAATAAAAAGCTCGTGCAGCATGTTCAGCCAATCAGAGAACATGATACACTGTAAACCAATCTTATTCACGTGAAAACCTCTATGTCATAGTATTGTCTCGTTCTCTCCGGAGTACCGAGTACTTTCCCTTCCATCAGTGTTTTCGGGAGTTACGTGACCTTGAGGTGTTCCAGGCTAATTAGAAATGTAAATTATTTAGGATTTTTAAAGGAGTTATTGAAAGACTAATTCAAATGATGGAAATATCGAGTGGGTGAATTTTGCAGTTCCAAGATATATTAAAAGATGGGTTATTCATTTAGGAAAACATATAAAAATATGTTTACAGCAAAGACACGAATTTTAGTTTACGGTATCCCCTTTTTTTACCCAAGTCACTTAGACAAAATGAACAAATCACATTATAGGAAAGGAACAGTGATTCCAACCAATTCAGTTTGACCAATTAGTGCAGAGGACCAACGCAAACAGAGACGACAATGAATTTATATCAAGTTTTATTACGCGTGTCCTTTAGTCGGATTGTTTACTTTAGCGAAGGGACCCTGTTAACCTATGTAGACGTGTAGTTCTTCTTTGGGAATATAAGACCAATTGGTTCCTTTTTCCTTGAGGAGGAAAGAAGGAAAACAGATCACAGAAAATTTTCACCTGTTACTATTGTTGTAAATGAGCTTCTTGATTGAGTCAATAATTGTAGACTTTGACGATGAAAGCTAATCGAAATTCTATTAACTGTAAATTGTAATTAAAATAAATGTCTATGCTATAGGCCGAGGTAGTTTGTGCTGGCACAAAGTAAATTTAGCAAAATAAATAATATGGATGCAAAATGTAGTTTGGAGAAGGTGGAAAAATAAAATAGCTTTTTGCAACTCTTTGTACTCTTGCTTGGTTCTATCACGGTGTTGACTATCCTCCCATTGTTCTATGCATTCTTTGATACATTTTTCCTTATCACAGGATTTCTCTTCTTTTCCAGTTTTGTGTATTAGAAGTTACCATGTTGATATGAAGTATTTCGATGACTCTTAAAAGGTCTTTTTCGCGCTATGGCATATATGTTTACAAGACGGTGTTTTCACTCGCAAAAGGCAAGAAAAGTTTTATGCCCACATTGGAAAACAGGTGCTTTATTTCCTGTTTCAGTAATTTCTTTTCCACAACCTCTGCTACCCTGATCCAGCAGAGCGGGCGCTAGTTATAGGAACGAGATATACGCTTCCACGGAAACGATTGGCTTCATTCTTAGGCATGCCCATTTAAGGTTGTTCATCGCATGATACAATGAACAGAACAGTTTCTCCAAACTACCATATTAGTCGAATAAGTGCCGCCCCGAAAAAGCGTCTCCCTCGAATAAGCTCCGCATTTGAGGCAGAAATTTAGTAGGCGGCACCTTGAGTAATCGCCGCATTTGGAACAAAAAAATTTAATCAGCGCTGCGGTTCCAATGTAGCGCTTATTCGAGGAATTTTTTCACACGCGCAGATTGAAAGGTAGAAGAAGTGTATCTTCCCACGCCGTGGCTCGTAGACTCAGGTCAAGAAAGGATCAGTCCTACCTTTGCCTCCAGCTGCAGCAAAATGTACTGTGAACCGATGAAATGACGCGCGTGATTAGTGCCAGTACAGGCATAAATGGGGTAAGTTTGGCTCATCATATCTCTTAATCAAACACGGTGACCTATCTGTTTTCATTGTATTGTTAGAAACAGACACTGGTAAGGAAAATTTAAAGAAAGTCTAAGAAAAAATTGTTGGATAACTTTTTTTTCTGAGGAATCACCTTAACCATTCCTACTCCTTGGTTGAGAGAACAATTGCCAAGAAAACACAGAACAATGATTAGGCCATAGCTAGAACGCAGGTCAAATCTGCGGCCACAGCCACAACTTCCTTAAATGCAGATTCACTGATAAACAATTTGGACTGATAGAAGAAAATTCCCCAATGGGCAATATTGGTTGATGAGGATTTGTTTTAGACTCAAGGAACCACACCCTAAAAGCTTGCTAACTTTAATTTTAATTTAAGTAATGACAACAGCTTAAAAAAAATTCTTAGTCAAAACTACTCTCTTTTAACATGCATAAAAACAGCTGTTCTGAGAAGTCATTAAAAACACTTACACAAGAAAGTTGAACAGCTGTCCTGAGAAGTTATTAAAGACATTTACACAAGAAAGTTGAACCCAATGATTTGTAATGTTCATCCTCTGTTGAAATCTTTATGAATTCTAAGAAATTGCTGGAGAAGATAAAAACAAGTTCCTTCTTGCACCAGGAATACAACTGATATGAAAATCACAATTTGTATTTCATACCAAACCCTCACCTTTGTACAAATCAATAATTACAAAAATGTGGAGACAAAACTCCTCCATTGTGCTGGGTAAATTTTAGGGGTTGTCTTGTGTTTCAAACATGTAACAAAAATGAAGAAACTAGTGCAAGATGATCAGATGAGATATACTTATTTGGGAGGCCACCAAGAGTCTGTATATCACTTTCTGACAGCAACTCAAGGTTCCCTGTCATCTGTAGGGATCCATGACGGCGGTGACACCTTTGGCAGTTCTGCCGCCGTCCAGGAGAAACAAATATATAGTCTACAGTAGTGCACACTTGATCGTGAAAAGTTGTCACTTCTGGCTGCCCATCTTGAAAGTAATGCCTGTACACACTAAACACATCAGAAAAATTGTGCCGTTGGATTGTGGTAGCATCGTATACACTTTTTTCAGTCATTTTTGCCAAAAGATGTGTACTGCTTTGTGCTTCTTCCCGTGAAACATTCTCATTTTCTGTGGAGTTTAAAGAGGATGGCTGAGTGTTTTGCAGTGATATTCTTCCATGTACATCTGACTGAAGTTTAGTGCTTGAACCAGGTTCTGGATTGAAACAGAGAGATCCTAAATGGTGATTTCTTGGCAAGTGAGCACAATTACCAGCCTGTCTAGACAATGAAAAATGTTGTCTACTCTTCTCAAATGGTAACACACTCTTTGATGCTGACACACAAGATGCAGATCCTGTAGAGAGGGGCTCCACTCCTGAGGGTTGCAAATCAACTTTCTCACAATCAATACTTAAAACACTCTCTACTTCTGTTGACTCATTTCTCTTGGTGCATGTTGTTGTGATTCCTAGTTCCCAAGGAATAATATTACTTCTTAATTCCTGACTTGGAGGGTAACTCCTGCGCACATGACTTTGCCCAGAAAAGTTATCACGATGCATGCCTTTGTAATTAAGAGACCCTCGCATAACAAAATCATAGATTGGTGAAAATGGAGTACTGTTGAAATCTCCACAACAAATGATGGGATGATAGGCTGCATTTCTTTGACCAGAAGAGGAGATTCTTGCTATTTCCTCAATTTCTGAAAATAAGCAGGCAAGTTGGGCAAGTTTGATGTCTCCTCTTTTTTTGTTGAAAAGTAAATGAGTGTTTGAGATGCATACAAGATTGTTTGAATTGCAAGATGAGCGGCCTGGAACTTTTGGTTTCAAAAGAACCACAACAGCTACATTATGACGATCCATAAGCTTCACGTTTGGTTTATTAAAGGAGACAAGTTCTGATTTCACTAACGTAAATCTTGATTTCTTGAAAAATGTAGCGCATCCATCTGTTTTATCACCACTTCTTTTCTTGTACACTCCAGTATAACCTAATAAAATATGTTAAAATCTAAAATTCATGGTTCTAAGAAAAGTCTCTAACCAACATGCACATGTGAAAGAAATTCTAAAAAGGCAAGAGAACTATGGGGTTCTAAAGAGCTCAAATATCAAAGAAAAATTACACCTTGATGTAAATTTATAATCCCACCACAATAAGGATGAAGACAGCCTTCAGAAAAAACATTACACATGATCTTGGTTTGACTAGACTTTTGTTAGTTGTGAGATCATAGAATTCGATAACTTATGAAAAGCCCTCAAGACCAAAGATAAACTTGACCTTAACAATGAGTTAAAGATTGGAGGCTTAGCCACAAGTTTATACCCAGCCTTTCTTTTATCCCTCAATCATTCCTAGAGATGGGAAGAGAAACCCTGAGAAAAACTCTGTTGGTCAGTCATGCCCTCTTCTAGTCTTGTCTAAACTCAGAAATGAATGTCATTTTTACCTTTCTCTCTCAGCTTAGGTTCAAACCAGTCCTCATAATGACTATCTTCAACTTCTTGAAGACACAAAACCTAGTACATAATTATATGTAACATTCAAGACACCTGACTATCATATTTAACTTTGTGGCAATCATATAAAATATCATGAATTCATTCATATTCTGCCTCATTTGCCACAAGCAAAGAACATACATGTACTCTGATGCCACACAAGTGAGAAACAAGGAGAAGATTGAACCAGCAGTGACAACATCTGTACCTCACTCAATTCATTGGAAAAATGAAACATTCAGCTGACTTGCATGAAGACCACACTTTCTTAATTTAGAGATTTCAAAATTACAGATAATAGTTCCTCCTGACAAACTTAATGAAGGTTTTCTTCCAATAATTCAATTCACTATTACCAATACTTACATCGGCCTTGTAGGATAGCAATTCTTTCAGAAGATTTTTCCGTCTGTACTCCCAATCTTTCAGCCACTCTTCAGATCCACAGTACAGATGGCTGTTGGAATGCAGTAAACCATCAGCAAGTACATTGTAAGAAACTACTTTAAAAGTAAAGTTCTGGTTTCTCTGTGGCCGATAACATTTTCTTCGCAAATTGTGCCACCTACGTCCCAACTTATCTGAAGATGTAAAACACGGCTGCTGCAAGGGTTCCATACTTTCAGAGCAGTATTCTTGATAAGAGCCACTTGAAGCATTTTGCTCTTCATCTTGACTTGACTGTACTGGTTTGATAGTTGTTGTTGATGGATAAACAGGTCTGCAATATGTGGAGTTGGCTGAATTGTTTTTAATAGGAGTCTCATGTTGATTCAAGTTCCCAGCACTGCTAACTTCAGGGACTGCAACACAAGATCATAATAATTAAGTATAAACATTCCTGGTCTAATAAATAAATAAATAAATAAATAAAATAGAATTCATATTCAAAAGAACTGGTGGATGCCAACTTCAGGTAACATCAATTCATCAGCGATGAACAGTAGTGAAAAAGTTATCCAATCTGACACCACTACCATGACTTATTTAGTGATAAGAAATCAAATCCATTTTCTTTTAAAAATAATGATTTTAATCAGTTACTATTGATTGTTATCACTTTCCCACTAACACAAAATTTGATCCACAAAAGGGAAGTAATCATATCCTTGCTATCAACTGTTTTGATAACATTGATTGTTAAAACAACTTCACTCGTCATTCAGAGGGTTTTCTCATTCAATTGTGTTGATGACATTGATAGTGAAAACTACTTCACTCTTCATTCAGAAGGTTTCCTCAGTCTATTGATGTCAACAAGAGGGTAACTAAGGGTAACAATGATATCAGCCAGTGTAACCCAAAGAAATAATGTGATAATCCAATGTGTAAACACTGACATTAACTGCTAAAAATTAATGCTAAAAAGTGGTATCAATTTTTTATTATAAAATAATTCAAATAGTATGCGCACTCTGATTGGCCATAAAACCATTTTACATAAGCGTATGTAAACACGGTTTTCGTTCCTCTTTTATTAGTTATTTTATAAAAGAAATGTAAAATGGTTTCTGTGTTTACATAGCCTGATGATAAGCTGGTAACCACTCCGCTTCGCGTCGTGGTTTCCTACGCTTATCTTGTGTTCTCCCAACCTCCCAAGTGTTTACATCAGGCTATGTAAACACGGAAACCATTTTACATTTCTTCAATGTCACTCATTCCTGTCATTCCACTGATAACACCAAGCTTGTCTGAAGTGTTATCAAAAACAGCCTACGTATCAGCACTCTTCTTGTTATGAAATTCCTATCTCTTGCAGAGGTAACAATAAGGACCATTTAAAAAAAGGAAAGATCGAGGATTTTCCCTCAGTACTCAAACATGTAACTTACATCAGCATAACAACGTTTACAAATTAATAAAAGCGAATACGATGGCAATGGTTCAAGCTGACATTATGATTGACACAATGCAGAGCAGACTGAAATGATTCTCCCTATACGATTCCGACTCATGCGACGCGAAATATATTCTACACGAATACTAAACGTACTAGAGCTCTCTGTACACAAATGTCAGACGAGAGGCAAGATTTCTGTATAATCACATACTTCATCATGAATTCAGTCCTTTGATAAAATAAAATAATTGCAAGTACAACAGATTTTTAAACTAAGGCTTTGTTTATAAATCATAAGTATCGGGTTATGTAGAAATATTTCCGAAAAGAAGCGCGCAAACCTTGCATGTCTACCAATGATGCACTGCTCATGGCTTCCATTGCGTCGTTTATTTCGGTAGATTTCCTTCCGAACTGTTTTCCAGCAGAAGTCTGATGTACTTCCCCCTCATATGAATATTTACACTTCTTGGCAGCTCGAGCAAAGAACGGCCTTACAGCTTTCATCCTAAATGTCGTCACCCGTTCGTTGCGTGTAGTTTCGCAACGCTTACACAGCAATGTACCTTTCTTTTGGTATCAATAGCGTGACCTTCATGAGCCCGCAGGTGAAGGCGTGGCTACAAATGTGATCAAGCTGCTCAGACAAGGAAGATTGCTTTGCATTTGAAGTGATCGGGAGAAACCTCAAAAAATGTTTCACACCAGTACGCAAAGAAAGCATTGGACTTTTTCAAGTGAAGAAGAGCTACGAAATATTCGTCAGGAGGTAAACGGCGTTTACTGTGAGAGTTTTCGCGAAAACTTCCCAGCGAAGAAAGATGTTGACTTTTTGACTGTTGAGGAAGGAATGAAGTTGGTCGAATACTACCAAAGTGTTTTGATTGAAGTTAGCGAAAAGTTTCAACCTCCTGTGCCAAGTGCTGTGACAGCAACAGCTGTGGCTTACTTAAAACGTTTTTATTTAAAAACATCAGTCATGGATCACCCTCCGAAAGAGATGTTCTTGGTCTGTTTGTACATGGCTTGCAAAGTTGAGGAGCATAATTTGTCTGTGGATAGATTTGTAGAAATCCTTCCAGTAGATCGGAGGGCAAAGACCATAGACTTTATTCTTGCTCATGAATTACTACTAGTGCAACGTCTTGACTTCCATTTAACAGTTCACAATCCGTATAGACCACTTGAAGGCTTTATCATCGATTTTAAAACTAGGTGTCCAAGGTCAGGTGATCCTGAGAAATGGCGTCCGTTAGTAGCAGAATTTCTCAGAAAAGCTCTGTTGACCGATGTTTCCTTACTTTACCCGCCATCACAAATTGCTTTAGCGGCTCTTTTTAGTGTATCCCGTGAGTACATAAGCGCTTACATAAGTGCAAATCTGGGTGAGCAACACAAACTTCTTCTTCGCCAGATTGAGAACGTAGTAAGTCTGGTTACTGTTCAGAAATGTACAGTCAGTAAAGAAGAGGTCAAAAGTTTAGAACAGAAGCTGAAATCCTGTAGAAATCCTGAGAACAACCCTGATAACAAACTGTTTAAGAAAAAGAAAGCAGAAAGGGAGAAAGCGATGGATATTGATGACTAGTGGCTCTGACAAGAAATCAGAAGAGACTAGTTAAAAAGATTGCCTTGGAAAGGAACAAAGTTATAACTACTGTGTTGAGTTACTGTTAGTACCTTATCAGAAGTGCTAGTAGTTTGTTTTGAACTCAAAGGACAATAAAGTTAAAGCTTTTGTGCATTCCTCTCTATGTAATGTCATTTTTAACCCTCTAACTCCCATGAGTGACCAAGACAGAATTTCTCCTTACTATACCTATACAATATCATGTGGACAAGTGATGAGAATGAAGAAAGATATCAATTATGGAATTACTGATTGATCTGCTACCAAATTCTCCAAACTAACAAAATGAGAATCATTTGACAGACAGTAAGGAGAACTACTAATGAGATCTTGGGAGTTAAAGGATTAAAGCTTTCCCACTGTAGGATGGGAAACATCTGAAATCTGCTTGCTTGAGATCTAAAGGGGAGACATGGGTGTGACCTGGTTTGCACCCTGGCCTCTACATTTTAAGATTTGCACCCCAGCTGCATTATTGTTTTGGGATTTTGGACAAATGATTATTTTCCCTTACCATGCCTCTCTATCATCTTCCATTTAGTTGGTTTCTGCTTTACCCTACCACTGAATGTTAACAAGGTACAAAATCCCTAAAACAATCCCTTTCTACCAGAAGAACCTTAAAGCCCCCCTGATGAATAATTTTAAAGACAGACTTTGTTTAAAGACAGGGTTCATGATGATAGACTACCATATTATAAACAGTAAAATCCAGCTGATAGTGTAAATCTCTAAATGTTTTTTGTTGAAATAGAAGGCAGCCAACAAGAGCTTAAAAAAAGAAGCAATCTGCCTGAGGCAGGGGGAAAATGAAAGTTGCTAAGTAGTGACTGGCTTTGGTTTTGCATCTGTTTGGCTGAGAGGGGAGTGCATGGCTTTTGGACAATCAAAGATGCATAGTTGACCCAAACCATATAACAAATACAATCATGGATTACCAGCATCACTCAAATGAGCACTGCATTCTAACAAAGGCCTATGGGAAGATGTGGCTGAACACATTGGTAATTTAAACAGGGTAAAAATAATTAAAGAAAGCTACAAAACTTTTAAGTCTGTAATACATGTTTTGATAGAAACTTCTGTCATCTTCAGTTAATTAGTGTACAAAGCATTGGAAGTTGAATTATTTAGTAAGTAAAACAATGCTAATTATGATAAATAGTGACAACAAGAAAAGAGGTAAAGCATGAAAGTGTGTGAATTAAAGGATAAATTCTTGACTTGCCTGCTAATATCAAGACCCTTTGGTAAAAATTATTCCTTTTAAAGATGTAAGGTCTACCTAATATTTATTTTCAATTACCAGTGAATTATTAAGTGTAATTATTGCTGGTGGGGCATGGGTATATTTTGGAAAAAGTAAAGTTAGACAAAACAGAGAAACATGAACTGCAAATTAAAGTTTGATTAGACATAACTGATTTCTCAAAACTACCTAGTTTTACATTAATGAATATAATATATTTCACTCGGCCTTAAAACACTACACTAGGTAAGGGTATGCTCCAGTTCTAAGAGATCTGATAATGAGCAAGATCTTCATTGTTCAGGAAGTAAACTCAATATCTAATCCTTGTTTCCTTTTGGAAGAGAAGTATGAAGAGACAAGAGTTCTTCCTGCTACTGGTCGCCCAGCCACATAAACTTGGAGAATGTTTCTGTCATCACCTGTACAAATGGCATTTAATAGCAAAGGATAAAAAGTAAGACATTAAAGTTGATAACAGGAATTATACTATCTTATGTTAGGACTCAAAAGTGTCAGGTCAATTGAGGGTATGCCATCAACACAGATTTAAAAAAATATGCAAATATCTTATGTAATCAAATTTAATGTTAAAATCAGAATGGAGCAGAGCGAGTGATCTTCAACCTTTCAGGTCCATGGAATAAAAATAAATTACTAGAAGTGACAATTTAAAACTAAAAAAGTAATCATAAAATGTAATAAATCTACATGGTACAAATTTACAACCAAGAAAACAAAGAGATAGACCTAACAGTGCTTCAGAAGACTGTAGATCAGATTAAGTTAATTCCCTCCTTTCATTGAACACACAACAAATTATTTAAAACTGAGACTCTCACGAAGCAGTGTTGATTAAATTCAATCAGCAATAATTGTTATGACTCTAGCTCTGGACTTACCAAGCATCAGAAACTTCTGAATCACATCCTTTTTGAAAAAGAAAAAAAAAAAAAAAGAAGAAATACAGATTACTATAAATAAGTATTGATTAAACTATACTAACATTTAACAGCCTGAAATGTATAGTCTTCATTTAACATGCACACATTACTTTGCTGTTCATCAATATTTTGAGGAAACTACCCAGAGAGGGAATCTTTATTGCTGGAGTTTCTCCATCATTCAAAATTGCATTGTGGTTGTGCATCTATGTGTGAAATAATGGTTGGTGCTCCCAGCCACAAATGTTTTTGTCACATTAGGAACAAAAAAAATTGAGGGACCAAAATTTGCAGCAAAGTTGACAATTTGGTGACCCATATTTGATAGCCTGATGAAGGTGTAACATTTTTATAACAAATGGATCAAGTCAATTGGACATTTCCACAAAATATTAGGTAGTGAACCACATGTCCATTTTTTTTGCTTTTGTTTTTCTTCCTTTTGTTTCCTTGCAACCTAAACTAAATTTATTTCAACTGGCAACCACTTTATGCTCTTAGGTTGCCATACAGTGAATCTTTAAAACATTAAGTTACTGCTACACCATCAAGGAACTACACACTTGATCAAAAACTATTACTTTGCATTTTTTTCTCCAGAAATAATATACAATGATTACTGGTTTAACACAAGTTGCATTTAATAGCAGCTTTGAATCCTTTTATTAGGTCTCTTGTTGAAGCAAAACAGTACAGAACCATCAGGGGTGGGTCTAAGGATTTGATAACAGTCAATAAAACTTGAATATAGGATGACTGGAATCGTATCACCCTTCAGTGGCCATATACCTACCTCTAAGGTGTCATTGTCAAAACAATCAAAGGGCGAGTCCTCAGCATCAGGGTCAATGAGTAATGCATCAAATTCTTTGCTAACCTTGTTTGAAAAAGTTTCAAAACAAAAGCATGTAATATCAATATATATTAATGAATAAATTTGTGTTCAACCAGGTAATATGTTACAATTGTTGTCCTTATTACCCTTTCTTTAATCTATAGATGATAATAAAGAGGGCAAGTAGCATTTGATAATTTAATTCATTACAATGTCAAAAAAAAAAAAAAGAATCCTGTGTTGAGATGTAGGTCCACTCCAAGAAATGCCCCAATATGATCAAAATTGTTCTGCACTCTAGCACTGTTCTAAGCTAGACTAGATCCTCTGTGAATTTAAAGCTGCTAGAGAAAATACTACATTCATCCTTACCTCAAAGTTGCCAATTTTGTCACTTAATCCTAAAACTGAAATGTCAGTAGATAATAATTAGCAATCAGATCCCAATTCACAGTGTTTAGTTTAAACAACCAATTGAACTAAATAATGGGTATTTAGAATGTAAGTTGAAAAAAATCCATGGTCATCAACCTTATGCTAAAGGTTTTGGGATTATTCTTACCCTCACTGCCCCCTAAAGTGGCCAATCTAAAAGCATCCTTGTAAGACAGAGATCTGTAAGATTCAGGCTTGCTGAAGGCAACAACATTGGAGGCAGTTATACACTGACGAATGACATCAAGCATTGATGGAGAGTGGCCTCCTGAGACATCTGTAGGCTCCATTGAGAAACAAAGAGGGGGAAATGTTAAAACTCCTCATACTAAATATCAAGACTTTAAATAAAAGCCTCTCAAATTATTGCATATCTGATTCAGTTTCCAGTGGACTCATTGCAATATATCCACTTAGAAGGACTGAAGCTTATAGTACATTCTATTCAACATTTAAGCATGTTAATTTCAGTTCACTGTTTGTAAAATTAAAAAAAACAACAACAACAATTCATCTGGTATTGATTCTACCACTGAAACTTATTTCCATTAAATTTTGATTAGGACAGTGACTTAAGATCCAATAGTTTCGATGATAAAGACTATATGCAGAGACACCAATGATTTTGTGCAACTCTTAATTAATGATAAACTTAAAGTTAAAAATTAATACAGTGTTATGGTGCACACATTAAGTTAACATACATCATTGTCTCAGAAAGCTTGTATTACCTGTTCCAAGACCAACTTTTAACTGCCTATCCAGCAGATGTCTGATATCAGCAACACCACTTTTCAAACTTGAGTTAGGAGAAAAATAAAATTTTCAGTCCAGTATAGTGGAAATTAAAGCCAAATAATAGCCTTAATTACAATTTTATCACTGTTTTTTATCATAAGGCCTCAAAGACTCAGCCAAAAATCTTCTCAGTTATTAATTCCTCAGGGAAATATTATGTAAAAAAAATTTAATTACTCTCCCATATTTGAAAACCCAAGTTCCTAGAAAGATGTTATCAAAATTGCAAAATGTCTTTCATGTGTATATGCTATATGTGTAAGATCTCCCATGATCAAAAACTTCTAATATTTAAGTTTACTTTTTGACATGGTAATCTGAAACAGGTAATGGTTGGAGTGGTACTAATTAGAGATTTACTTAAGATCAAATTTCTCATCCAACAAATATTTTTATTTGCTCTATATATAGGAGCAGTCTGAAGAGTGATAATTTTATGAAACATAAAAATAAGAGGCCCATATAACGTACTCAAAATTTGAAATAGGGCAATGAGCAACCCCAGTGCTGCGTAACAACATCAGGTCAATCTCTTCCTCAGTAACATAAATACAGTGTGCATAATAGGCCTATGGTTGAAGAAAACAGAAAATTCATTTGGTTGTACTACAAAAAATTGTACCTATAACAACCTATTGTCAACTCAAGTATAAGTTCTGCTGTAAATTTGTTTTTTTTTGTCTCTTGTGGCTTTGAAATGGACATCATACAGTATACCCCCAATCCTTTGTTCATATTTCACATTTGCATTTTTATTTTGCATCTACCCAATTTCAAAAATCAAAAACTGATAATTTAACAATTCAGATTCAATCCTCACATTGATCTTACTTTCATGGCTAGAAGCACTTCAGAATGAAACTTTTTCAAGGCATAGCTTCCTTAAAATAAGTGGATTTACCTTGTCTGTTAGGAGCTCACATTCCTCAAGTATTTTTGCCAAATCAGAAGTCTGAGAAAACTCAGAAGCAAAGTTCCAACTAGCCAGTTCATCTTTGATTTCACGCAAATGTCCCTGGAATTTTTGTAAATAGCAAGTAAGAGATTTATTAATCAGTCAAACCTATGAAAAAATATGTTTACCCTTGAAAATGTATTATAGCAGTGAGGCTGGTGGGATTTAACAATTAATTGCCCAAAAATTCTGAATCAAATAAAACAAAGCAAGATTTAAAATTCAAACTGGCAAGAAGCAAACCAATTTGCTATTTACAATCACTGCTTACTATTCACCAAGTATGGTAAATGGTTTGAACCCCAGGGTAACATGTGAAAATTTAGTCTGATTGTCTGGAAGAGTGCAGACCTGAGAAGGACTGTTGTTGGTAGTGGTGACTGATGTTTTGACAACCTGAGCAGAAATCATCATCAGAGTCAAGTGATTGGTTGTAGTTAGTCAAATGTTCTTACTAAATCCATTTGCATAACCTGATTGATCAGTTTTGCTGTGATGCTATTGCTTGTAAGACTTAAGTGGCATAAGTAAGTTGTGATTGGTCTGATTCAGTCCATTGGTAAAGTTAGGTAGTTCTGTTTTATTGGTTTGTAATTGTTAATGTCATGTATAAGTTATTTGTATGGTGCCAGTAGTTGTTGAGTTGTGCTGCATATGAGGCATTGCACAAGTCATCAACCCTGCTTCCATACATACACCTTCCATACTCAAATAAACATTAGTGATCAACTATAAAAAAATTTATCACTGAAATTCAGATGTGCATTTCAATTAAGTCTCTGCTCTTTTACTTACCTGAATAGGGACATTGTATTTTTTGGCTAATTCTCCATGAATTGTCAAAAGTGATTTGGTACAATGTGCAACTCCTCTCGCCGTCAGAACAGGAGTCACAAGGGGATGCTACACAAAAAAATAATATACTTCACTCAAGACAGAAAATGTAAAGCAGGATATGTGTAAATCTACATTGGAAAGTAGTGAGAGGTTATAACAAAAGAAAAATTGTTATTGGTTTTGTCATAAATATCAGACAGAGAAAAAAAAAAGTCCTCATGTCAAGGTGAAGAGCCACAGACATTTGAATTCTGTAGTCTGGTGCTCTACCAACAGGTAACAGTACCTGCTGGTGCATTAAGCAATTTCCATGTTTGTATTTGAAAAGTGTTCTACATATACTGCAGCTATGATTGGCAATTTAAAAGTAATGTCTGCAGGTAAAAATAAGGTAGGAGATTTTCCTACAATTCTACTTACATTCATGTCAATCACATGTTTGATGAACCTGTTCATAAAGACACATTTTAAAGCACATTAATATGCATGAAATGAGACAAATGTGGCATAATGGTGAGTGCATTGGACTTTGGGTCAAGACTTGCCAGGTCAATGTGTTGTGTTCTTGGGTAAGACACTTATCTCTTACAGTGCATGCCTCTCTCCACCCAGGAGTATAAATGGGTACAAGCAAATTGTCAGGGAAGCCTGTTGAAATGCTGCAGGGTAACCTTGCAGTGGATTAGCATCCTATCCAGGAGGAAGTAGTAACACTCTTCTGCTTCTTGCTAATTGGAAAGCAGGATAAGCACCTGTTGGGTGAACCAACAGGCTCAAGAACAGACTTGCTCTTTATTCCCCTGAAAATTTCCAATGACCTCATGGGGTGGGTGATCATCTCCTTGCACCACTAAACTGACCTTCCTTGATCTTAGAATAAATCTTACAATCATGGTTTCTCCCAACTACAGATGAAGTTTTTATTATTAATTTTGGTTTCTCTAACATGAAGTGACATGAAGTATAGATACTATACCCACTGATGACATGCTAGTTTGTAATAGGCTTACATAAAGTTTCTGTCAGTTACAGTGTTTCCTGTCAGTGGAGAGAGACACTTTGAGGGTTGAGTGTCTTGAGCCCCCTACCCTCCCCCTAAAAAACAAGAGTTGGTTTGGTCATGATTCACATAATATCCTTTCTTAGTACCAGCTATTTTCTGCAAACCTTTCTTATAGAAAAACTTGTATTCAAGATATTAACCGTGACCTTAAGTAATAATTCCAAGTATCACAATTTCATTAAAAATGCACAATTGTTAGAAATGAACCTTTCTGTTTCTTCTGCGCAACATTCTGTTGTTTTGCTGTGTTCGTGAGGGGAACAATCAACATCAGAGATGCCAACATATGCCCGCTGACCAAGCTCCACTGTGGAACAAAATGGTTTGATTGCCTAACTTATTAAGATCTTGAAGTCTACATGATCAATAATCCTGATAACCAGGCTGGTCAAGTACTTAAAATGCTATTTAAATGGTTACAAGATGCTGGTTTTAGGAACCATAAGTCGGAAATGTAAACGTGTTCATTCTAGAGCTGACTTATACAATCAGGAGTTTAGTACCAAAACAGAGAACATCACTACTAATTTTCAGTCGGGAGAAATTTGATAACGAGTCTGTAAGATTGTCCACATGGGTTAAATATAGTTCCTTTTCACTTAGCAGAGGATAACTAGGGCCTAAAATTTTTAATTTCTAATTAGAGTCAAAATTTGCAATTTTCTTTTGCTTCATTGTTAATGTGAGGCAATAACTTACCAATAACATCACAAAGAACCATTGTAGCATTAAGATGTATGGTGGCAAAATAAGATGCTGTTGTTGTACCATTCATCAGCAACCTCCTCTTCAGAGAAACATGACTGTTAGATAAACTAAATGTGATACAAACCATTACCAGTAAAATAAAGTTATCACTAAAATTATTATTGTATCTTACATTTGATCTATTGGAAGACAGATGCATAGACACAAATGTCACCATTTACAACTGCCCCTCATATAACACTTTTTTGTTATCACATTTTGATGTCGTCTTTTATCTATTATTGTCAGCATGGAATCTGTTTGTTAAATAATTAATCTCAGAAAGTAGTTCTCAGTGACATTTTAATTAGAAAACATGATAGTGCCATTTTATGAAAAACTTACCACCAATTTCTTGTAGACATCAAGTGCAAGGTTTGTATCTTCAAACCTGGCCTCAGTCGGAAAAGTGTACTTATTCAGCCAATCAACAACATGACAGTCATAACCAGTACCAGTAAAGCTGTACTGTGGTGCATGAATATGGGTGTCAATCAGTCCTGGCATGATAAACTGCCTTTGTTCATACAGACATATGAAATAATGTGTAAGAGATTGGAACTAATAATTAGTAAGTTATAAAACAATACTTATATCACACAGACAAGACTCTAATTTGTATTCAAGTGTCAATACAAGCAGTTGCAATCCCCTTCCAGAGGTTTCTGTGTAACCATTTGATAAACCTTTCTTTAGTGACTCAACCGTACACTGAATTCTAAATTTTGGTCTCTAACCAGAAAAAAAAGAAAAAAAAAATATATATATATATTTATTTATTTATTTTCCAACACCCTTTGTCATTTTAGGTATCAATTTCACCAATTTCTTTTTAAAATTACTTATTTAGTTGTTAATAATTTCTATACAACCATAGATTAGAGTCTATTAGAATTTTAGTTCATAAAAGCTAGGCTAATTACCTTGGCTTTAAGAAGATTACATCCTTTGAAGTGAATCCATACTGCATTTCTAACAAGTTTTGATTTGATTCACCATTTTCTATGAACAAAATCTAGAGCCAAGCAAAATGCAGTTGAGCTAGACTTGAGAGAGTGTTGTGTGTGTGGGGGGGGGGGGGATGACAACAGTAACTAGGATCATATGGGAGATAATGTTATTATACCAAAATCTGCATAATACAGGAACTCTCTTCTCTGCAAATGCTATGTAAAACACGTCCTACGAATGCAATGACTAAAACATGCTATAGGCACAAATCAAAAGAAGTTGCACTCAACGCATTCTGCATACATTTACAACTAGCTAGGGGTTGCTGGGAATAGGTTTAGAACTGATGATTCAAGCGTTACCACTCTCACGAAGGGCTAACGCAAGCTCGAAACATCACCTTTAGCACCTCTCCACGGAGGCCAATTCATATTATGAATTCAGTAGACGAAATTGAGTATCTTGTAATACCCCGACCAGCATTAGCCACGGAGTACTTGTGCAGTAGCTCAAATTCAAAAATGACGTATTACTTTCTAATGGAACAACAAGCAAGCATATTAACCTTTCCGGATGGATTGATTCCTAAAATTTTGTCTGGTAATATTTCCAACGCATTTTCAGAGGTGGAGTGGACAAAATTTCCACGGAAAACATATGAACATTTTTTAAACTGGTATTTGTCCGCCATGTTGGATTGCAGGTAGGTCGCCTTCTCCATTTGCGAAGAAGTTTCCTGTACACCGAACCTTCTATCAAAATCTAGTCCTTTAACTTTCGTGAGCTGCTAGGATCAAACGTTGCAAAGGGATACTGGTTTACAGGGTGTACCATCCGTACAAACAACGAGGGGAAATAGTTCTGTCTCCAGCCACTTAGATACAGGTTGGTCACGCATTCTGCAAAAATGGCGGGAACGATCGTGGTCACGCAAATTGATGAGTAGCACCATAAGTGATTTTTGTTGTTCTTGTTGTTGAAAATGAAATTGAGAGGGTGTTTTTGTTGTTGTTATGGTTGTTGTTTTACATCAAGTGCATTCTTGCGCGCTGCTTTGTGATGAGGGAAGGTCGCGTCACCCATGTAACGGAAGCCATCCTTAAACGAATTCAAAGAGACTCTTCTTTGCTAATTTTTTTGTCAAACTTTCATTTTTGTGGCTTTGGCAGTAAACAAAATATCATTATATCAATATCACTATTAAAAATGGTTTGCGCAAATTGTGAATTAACTTTGGACGTGCATTTAATTCACGGAAATACAACTTTCCTGGAGAATTTTTTTGGTTTTTGTTTTTAAAAAATTTAATGGACGGTTTGCGACCCTTTGTTTTAACGTTGCTTTAGTTCTTATTTTCCTTAAATTCACTAAGATGCTAAGCATGTGGCAGCTGTTATTTTCTGTGAATAGAACTCCCTAAAAGTCATTCCCTAAGTTTAGTACTTACTTCATGATGTCACATAGCCATGAAAGATTCCGGCATCGTTCCAAATTTAAAAACAAGGTGGGGATATTTCCCAAAAATCGACCCTGCAGGAATCGTCTACAGTAGTTTTCATCTTGCTCAAAACAAAAAAACTGTCTAGTCTGTAATAATGTCTGACGATGAAGACCAAGGAAGAGAGTACCTGATCAAGTTTCTAGCTCTGGGTGATTCTGGTGTTGGTAAAACAAGTCTTTTATATCAATACACGGATGGTCATTTTAACCCTCGATTTGTGCCCACGATAGGGATTGACTTTCGAGAAAAACGAGTGGTATGTATAATTCACCTTCCTAAAGGCATAAAGATAAATTTTCGACTGATACCATTTTAGAAAAGGTTGAAATGAAGATTTGTATATTTCTTGTATTTGCTCAATGTAAAAGTGATGTACTCCTCTTGTTTTCCCACTGATACGATTGATCATTCAATTTACGACGTCGCAAAAAAAGCGCTTTCTTTAATAAGCAATAACCGTATGCAATAATTTGGAGCTTGAGAAGGTAGCGATTCTTATAGTTCGAATCAAGAGTGGGGGTTGTATCAAAATGAGGTTAGCACAAGAATCGATTAAAATAAATTACTTTTCTTTAATACATTTTTGGACTACAAAAATATTTACACGTAATCGACTTTTCGATTTAAATTCATTAATTCCTTCTCATTAGCATTTGCATTTGAAGGCTTATATTAAGTAGTATTCAAGGTTCTTTCGGATCCTTTTTTAACAAACAAATACAATACACAGTAATTCATTAGTCGAAGATGACCAAATGTCAACATCTGGCAGGTACCTGTCTAGCGATCCTGACTTTAGTCGGGACCTCTCTATCAAGAGCTGATGGGCGGATGTTTCCTTATTTGAGTGCGCATTACTTATTGTGTAGTTGAAAGAACAAAAAGAGCCATACGTTTCCGCCATAGCCCTTCAATGATAGAGTATCAAGTTTCGGTCGCTTTAGGTGCAAGATTTATGCGCCAATCCCGGAACTCTTTATTCGAATGTGTCCTTTAAAGTTATCTCAACATTGCTTCAGTACAAGAAAGGTTAAGGCACTTCATCTTCTCTTGACTTGCGTAAATACAATTCCTACAGGTGTGTATAATAAAGAGTCAAAAAATTTTGTACAGCCGGGAGAGAGTCCTAATCGAGCCCTGAGGAGTGTTATTTAAAAGGTTAGAATTGGCTCGTGAGTGGGTTTCCGAAACTAAATCTCCAGCTGGTTTGTGCATGAATAGAATGAGAAAAGTGATGAAATTTCTAGTTCGGTCGTCGATTAGATCCCATACAGTTGGACAACGAGATCTCCATAGCTTAGTGGCACCCGGGTCGAACATCCAAGCTGTAATCTGAGGTTCGATTCCTCGTGGGTACCCAGATCTTTCTGTGTTCCAAGTTCCTGGCAAAATAAGTGGAACAATACCAGTTGATAAAGAGGACAACCCCTGTATCAAATTTTTCCAGTTATCCTAGGGGTCAGGGAGGGGATTTACCTTCGGTTAATGTTTTTTGGCGTGCAACAAGACACGCATCAATCCTAGTGACACAGGCCGTAGCTTAGAGCTCACTGAATACATGCAATTTATACCAACCCCATGCTGAACACTAGACAATCCTGGGACTCTGCCAACGTTGTCACTCTTTAAAGTTTAGTTTCATCTTACTATCGTGAACCGCAAAGCCTACAATAAGTGGCAAAATTAGTTGGTCGACAACCCTTCGCTTAACAGAGTCGACATAACTCAGGCCCTGAACAGAAATCTTGTAATTTATCTCTATAAGTTAATTGAAAGCGTTCCTTCCCCCTCTAAAAAGAACTGTTGCCTGAACTTGGTGGGTATTTTTTCAATACCAGGCAACTTTAAAATGGCGAAGAGAGGGAGGGGGGGAAGATAAATGAAAGTTCGAGGAAAAAAACTGAAAAGGTAGTGAAGCGTGTCAAGACTTTCGTCCCTCATTGTAAGTCAACAATCGTTTAACATTTAAACAATTAAAATCGCAAGTACAAGTACATCAGAGATATTCCATTCCGTGAATGCTTCATCAATATCTTTTACACTTACCCTACCTTTCTACAAGCGGTATCTTTTGAACCTGAGAAGTATTTTCCCATGCAATACCACTGCAACATAAATGACATAACAGCGAAAGTGTCATTCTACAGAAAAAAAATTTAAAACTCTCCTGTGAACAGCGGCGATAAGAAACTGCAGTTGTCTTTAATTTTCGCATGCTAGGATTTCACCAACTTTATTTTTATATAGCTTTTTCAAGTTGTACATTTATTTATTTTTGCCAGTTACGAATAATGAGATCGAGCAAACCTTCTTTTGATATCAATCTTTGGGCAGCTCTTGAACCAGATTTATCCAACTATTCGTTAAATAAAGGGGGTAAGTTTCTAAAGAAACAGTGGTGCGGTGTCGGTGGGAGAGTATAACGGGGTACTTAAGTATTATCAACTGAGTTGATAACTAACCTGGTTGATATCGTAAATTGGCCACCGTAAAGAGTTTCAAAGTGAATGAAGATGGGCTAACGCTCGAAACGTCAGCTTTCAAACTCTATACGGTGGCCAATTCACGTTATCAACTCCGCTGAGAATGCTGAATGAGCCTGTTTTTCGTTGAAAAGTTTAAATTAAGTTCGGTGGTGTCGGTTCTTAATCATTCTTCTTCAGTTTAAGCGAATTTTCCATGGACAAAATCATAACTAATGTTGGTCCAGTATCGGCTTGGATGGAATACATTGTTAGACCTGTATCAGCGATAACTTAATCGTTATTTATGCATGTATCGAACGATCGACTAGTTTCTGGACGAATTTTGTGGCTTTTCACAAAATACGGTTCTTGATTTCAAAAATTAATTCTACACCACATATAGCGTCGGCAGGTAACCGGCAAATCTCTCCTATATTGGTCAGTTAATTAACTGGCTGTATTTATCTGAGAGATGGACCAAAAGTCCCTCACCCTACTCCACCCTAATATATAACTGCACGTACCTTGTTGCCGCCAAATTTCCACAACAACAACAAACCACGAGTGACCAATCAGAGAGTGCAAGAGTTATCAACAGACCAATCAGATAAGCCGTTAGATAAATATCAGTTTTGTACGCAAAGTTTGAAGGAAAACTCCCGAACTAAACATGGCGGATACCGATTATGATTATCTGTTAAAGTTTTTGGCTCTCGGTGATTCAGGCGTCGGGAAAACTAGCCTTTTGTTTCAATACACGGATGGATCATTTAATCCTAAGTTTATATCCACTGTAGGGATAGACTTTCGCGAAAAGAGAGTGGTGAGTTACATAGTTTCAACGATTGATATTTAACTCGTGAACATTCATTGACATCCATCTAATAATATTATTCCTCTGCGTCGAGAATTTTTATTTTACATTAATATTTCAGGCTCAAGGGTGTATACTTTTTGCTTTTAGAAAATAATCACTAGTTTTTGGTGAAATTGTGATTTAACTCGTATTAAGTCCGCTGTTTTGGATAATACACAACGTGCCTTGATCTTCTACCTCTGAGAAAACAACAAAACAATCTTTAAGTCGATGCTTAAATTCGAATCCAACCTTACACAACAACTGAAATAGCCTCTAATGATTGTCTTGTAGAAACTATGGAAAGTGAAAGTGCTTTTTTTACGTCGATTTCTATGAGAAGTATGCATTTAAATTTCAACTGACTCGACGAGACTTAAGCGATCACTTGTAATCTCGATGTTCCATATCCATTTAACACTCTCTCCATATTTTATAAAGCTAACGCTCTGATCTAAGCTCGTATTTTCGATAACCTAGAAAATGTTAGAGTTCGAATTGAACCCAAAGCAGAGCAGTTCATAAGTTCATTGTGGGAGCAAGGACAAGTTTGATTGTCCCGAGAACATTTTTTGTGTACGATCGTTGTATTTTAAGATTCTCTATTTAATTCACTTATATACTTCGTTGTGAATCTCCCCTCTGAAAAGATAGAAACATGCAAAATTCCTAGTTTTTGCAATAATGTGGTTCCAAGGCATCAGTCTTTAGCCGTTAAAATGAAAAAACTGTCGGCGAGATCTCATCGTTTTTACATTTTTAATTGTGAAGCTCTTCTTTTTTGAATTTTAATAGCTTCATTGTCTGATTCATTTCAATTTCTAATCATTTCATTTAAATCTATACCTAGATCACACGAATAACTATCTAAATCACCACAAAATCTTTACTGATTCTATTTTATAAATTCTATAATTTTTTGTGGTTTCTCACTGAAGCAGTCTTCGGAACTGAAATTTTACTTCTAAGAAATTCTAAGAGTGTATAGATCTCTCTACAATGTCACCTGGCTTCAGAGGGACTAAAACTGTGAATGGTGTGGCTGATCTTAATGTGTG